CGGGAAGAGACGCGAGGAAGCTGACGTGGCAGTATCGCATGTGCGGGATAGGAGAGGAGAGATTGCCGAGAATTGTATGGGAGGCGAAGTGGGCAAATAAAAAGAGGGGTAGACAACCCACGGAATGGGTCAGGGTTGTAGAGGACGTATGGAAGGGGCTCGACATCGACGAAGATGAAACGCTGGAAACGGAGGGTCTACAGGGGTTCAAGGAGAAGATATCTGTTGCTTGTGCCGAGAGAGAAGAACAGAATCTAAGGAAATAATCCAAGGATAAGGAGGGTCTATGAGTGTACGGAATGTTGAAGGAAGGAATAGGGTTCAAGGATTACCTACATTGACCAATGGATGCAGGAACAAAGCTTAGGGTCAGATTCAGGACCGGAGACATAGGCCTTCGAGAACGTCGACGAAGACATAGGACGGTAGACGACGAAGACGACGAGTTCAAATGCGATTGCGGCTTCGAATGCGAAGACCGTGTTCATGTAGTCGCGGAATGTCCGTTGTACAAGAAGGAGAGGGAAGTGTACGTGACTGAGCTGGGAAAAATAGATGGAACGTACAGGGAGATGTTTGAGGCATGGAATAGAGAGGAAAGGACGGTAGCTGTACTGGGGCATAGGAGGTGGGTTGAAAAGGCGGGAAGGGATATCGTTAGGATAGACAGACTAGGGAAGACATTTTTGAGCCACCTTTGGCAAAGTAGAAAGGAACGATTGGCCATCGGTGATCGGTCCTGTGGGAACAATGCTCCGTCCTCTCGAGGACGCGTGGTCAATGGTCTAACCGCTAAGACATGCAAAACATAAGAGTACGCCCCCCCCCCCCCCCCCCCCCCCCCGCATTCACCCCCTAAGTGAAGAAACCCTGCCTTGACCACATGACAAGTCCCTCTCTCACGTTACTTCGATTCCTGCCGTTCACCTCGCTCGCATGAAACTGAAAACACCTTGGCTGTGCAGTAGCGTAAGGACGCTCTACTACCCCACCTCATGCCCCTCGTCGCCACCGCTCCTTACCACCAATCGGAGCTATGCTCTCTACCGCCCAACTCGCTTCTTTCCGCACGTCTACCGCCGCCGATAGACATGGGTCGGCAACGACGGCAACGTCCGCTTCGACGGGAAGAGTGGCTCACTCATGGGGGTATTTGACGCGGCCCCTGTCTTGCCCCCCTCTCCTAATCCCGATGGTGCTCCCGGCAGCGGTGCCGGCGATGTAAAGCGCCGCCATAGAGGGGGTAATCTGATGACCTGGCTTGAAGAGTATTTAAGGCGAGTCGTGTTTGTGGTTCCTGCTCTCACTAGTGTTGCCGGCAGCGTTGCAGTGGTGAATTGTACGGTCTTCTGCTCAGAGTTTCCCGCGGGGCCGGCCTCTGGTTAATCGAGGTGATACGTACGTCGCGAGGTCAACTCTGGAGGGGGATTCGATCTGTGATCATTTGTAGGGCCGGGGACACAGTTCCCGGGGGATGGCAAGATTAATCATTTGCTCGGTCTGGACATACTCCGTCTCTCACTTGTCCTTTTCGCGACGGCGGAGCTCACCTAGCCCACATTTACGAGCAAAGTATTGAACAACCAAGGGCAGGCGCACTAGCAAGGGAGTAGGTTTCGCGAATGTCTTGATTTTTCAAGGCGTACGAGAACAAGAGCACATGCCCACGGGACCAAACTTGACCAAGCCTAAACCGGGAACGGCAGTGAATTTATTCCAGAAGGAATGTCCCGGGTTCAACTTCTCATTGCTTCTCAGTTCCGAGCGGGAGAACCCCTTGCACCTTCGGCGGCGAGCGTATCGCCCGAGGTCTTGGTGAGGGCACTGCTGCCCGAGGTCGTTTTGATGTGATAGAACCCCCATCCCGGTCTTTTGAAGCCGTGAAATGACACTTCAAACCCCAATCCCCCCCCCCCCCCCCCCCCCCCNCCCCAACCCCCCCCCCCCCGCCCCCGCCGACTTGCGGACATTCGTCAGGCGCCTGCAGTGCGGCCACTACATGGTGAGGTCGAAATGGCGGGAGTCTATCCAACGGGCGGGCGAAGCGGTACCGAGGTCGCACCTGTTGCGCGGTGTGTGGCTGTTCCCTGCGGAAGGAGGCGATGGCTGCGTCACGGATGTAACCCAGGTGAGCTGCGGCAAGGTGGGGTTCTGCAAGCGCTGTTTTTTCGCTGTTTTGTGCAGCTGCGGTTTGGGATGGGAAAGGATGGCATGGTTATTGCCAGTCTGGAAGCGAAGGATTAGCGAGAGTGACGTTTCCTTCTGCCGTGGAGCGTCGTGTGCTGTACTGTGCGCAGTTTTTGCTGAAACGTAGAGCGGATGTCACAGTTTCTACTTCTACGTTTTTCCAAAGGTGGCTATATAGCGCAAGTCGCGAAGATTCAGTGCTCAAGTGCTGCAAATGACCACGAGTAGAACCCCGTAGGCTAAACATCGCTTCGCTAGCTCACTGGGTCAGGACCTAAGCACAGATGACCCATCACGCTCAGCGAGGCGCTGTTTTCTTCTCATCCATGTTAAGAAAAGTAATATTAGAGCACCGAAGTACACACGTCCCTGCCATCGCTCGTTTCTTCGTTGCTCCGCTGCCGTTGCCGAACACGCCCTTGCCCTTCCAGGGGGTGGAGATTCAAGTTTCCCCGGCTCTCGCGCCGGAGGAGTGTGCGGATCGGTGAGCATGTTCGCGCTGGTGTAGATCGACTACAGTAGGGGGCCCTCTATAGTGCCGGTATGTGTTCAGAGAGCAAAGCGGCACTATACCGGGCACCGGCACTATTCAGAGTACAGAAAGACTTGATATTCCGGTGTGTGCGAGCCGAAAACACCGGCACTATACCGGCAACCGGCACTATTCAACCGGCACTATATCGGGCCACCCACTGTATCCCTAACCTTAACATTGTTGATGTTGATGTTCTTTATCCCTTGGTTGTTCTTTACGCCAAAGAGTATTCTTGACACTAGACCTGGAACCCGACTTTATTTTTTTCCTGCTATAAGCGGCGAGTTGCTTCAGTGTTCCCTGGATTCTTTACGTCATCGTTCCATCCCATATCTAAAATTCAACCGAAATGTTGTAGACGAAGGCCTAGCTTATGAAACAAGATGTTCTGGCATAGAGAATACGAAATATGAACCCACAAGCCGTAACAACGAGGTATGTGTCGTCTCCACATGGGCGATGCTTCCCCGCGAAGGCGATCGAAGTACACAATGTGTGCCACGGTTCCTACCGAAAATTGAGATACAAATTGTCGCTCAGACACAAGCAATGATCAACGGTGAATCTCTGTGAGATGAATAGGGCACAACAACGAGGGGGTAGTGAGCGACCACCTTGTCCCAAGAATACCCACCAAGGTCGATTTTGGAGAGGGGTCCGAAACCATGCCTTCTGACGCTTTCTGAAGGACATGTTCCACACGAACGTATGCCCATGTTCTCATTAGGGTATTAAAGCAAAATAAACCCGTGGATGAGGGTTACAACTTCCGTCACGCCACGAAATGGAACGTCGATGGTTTGATACGAAATCTGCTGCATCCCCCGTAGCGATTTGGTTTTGGATGAATACCGGAGCTTCGTGTGTGCGCACATCAACTCTCACCATGCCTACCCGGCTCACCATGAGAAGGGTTCGCTTTTTGGTTGGACAACACATGCGTGAGTTACGGTATCTTACGGCGCGTAGTACAGCAATGTGTGATGGTGTGCAGCACGATATGCATATGCCACGTATTGTTTGAGCGCAGGTCGGATCTGGTGTGGGCGTATTCTGTGCGGATGCAGCTGTTGCGGGACCACCCTTCCCGACCACCGGTAATTGGCATTGACAGCGTGCGTTGTTTGTTGATGAGGTTATTTGTTAACTCGTCTCTGCTGGGTATCGGAAACTCTTTTCGTAGATGCGGTGTCTCAGTCATTTTGTTGATCTGTTCGTTGCATTCGATTTGATTGGCCGTGGAGGGTGTGTCCTTGTTGCGAGTCCCAGCTTCGGTTGCTGCTGTTGCTGTTGTGGGGGTCCGACGATAGCTACTTGAGGTTTTGTACAGTGGAAATTGTACTTATAATCACAGATCTATTTTCCGCTGTTATTCGCTATGCATTTGCCTCGGTTTCCCAGTTCGACGGACGCTACGCTCCTTTGGATATTTGGCCGTGTACCCTATTTTCGTCCTTCCGGATTTTGGTATCGTGTTTCATTTCGGATTGATGATATGCATATTACTTGTTCTCTGGCTGTGTGTTTAACCTGTAGCTTGCTGTTCTCGTCGTTTTGGTGCAGGGTCATTCACTCATTACTAGTCTACTTGCAATCATGGCTTCACGCTGAGCTGTCTATCGGTTGTGCGTGGCCTTCGTTTGCCCCTTATTGCTTTGTGGTCAGGCCATGTCCTCGTGCCAGCTTTCCACGCGGCACTGGGAGATCGACGGACCTGATGGCTTCCACAGGTACGGTGTGTTGGTATTGGACAACTCGCAAACCAATTTGCTGAAGCAACGGGAGATAGCCAGGGGTTGGCTAGTAATGCTCGGGGCAGCCTTACAGCCAGGGTATTGGCTAATAATGCTCGGGGCAGCTTTTCAGCTTCACTTAAGTAGCAGGCGTGCCTTGGCTGTTGGACAGCAGTGTCTAAGGTTGTGACGTAAACATGTCGCTTTTTGGACCACAGCATATGTTGGAAGAACCGGGTAGCTCGTTTATGAGACTTCAATGACCGAGCGAGGGTAGCGAGGAACACAATCATGTTTTTTACCAAGTTTGAAAAATGTCAAGGCGTCTGGTTTTGAGATGTAATCGACGACTGTCGGAAGGAGCCATGCTTGGGACAAGCACCCTCCCATGTTTCCCCTAGAGCCAACTGCCACGGAATTTGCATGTCACGGCTTGTGTGTGAAATGCTTGGGTTGACGCGTTTGGGGCGTCTGGATGACAATCAAGCTTTGCCTCGAACTGGACCCCTACATGAGCCATCCTGTGTAAGCTCTTGAGTTGGGAGAGCTAGGGTCAGTAGCAGCTCGACGGTGAATACATCCCATTAGACGAATTGCACCAATTTGATCGCTGCAAGACCCACATTGGTATCAAGCATTGTTGGTGGAGTGGAGGTGTCGAATTATGTTGCTTGTGACCCTGGTCGAACGTTCCATCATTGTGGTGGACGCTCCTACACCATTTAGTCGGGCTTGATTGCTGTCGAAGAGAGCGTCCCGCAGATGCATCGACCGGTTTTGGCGTTGATATCGTTGTGGATCAATGGTCTTTTTCATCGGGCAAATGAAAGACGTGCTCACTCGAGTCTTGTCGCCAAGCTTGCCCAGTTGTTCCCGTCACAACCGTTCATGATGTCGTAGGGAAGTCTCCGGGGATGGCGTGATCGGGGTGCATCCTACCCTGCGTGTACCAGCTCCTCCCGCCGGGGATGTTCGGGGCGGAGATAATGGCGGAGTTTTCGAGTATCAAAGTATCACCACTTTGGAAAGGACTCCAGGTAAGGGCTTACTGGAGTATCTATCGTCGCCACGCACGGGAAGATGTGTGCGCATGTGACAACAACCTGCAAATATGGCCGGGTTCAGGACTTGCTGCCAACCGCGCACCCGTTTCACGGAGGACGGTTTTTCTTGGTGCAGGTAGTGCTTGCAGCAGCACCGACGTGCTCTTTTTTCAAGACTGTCCCTGCGCCTCAGCACGAATGCGTCGTCATTGGTCTTCGTTTGTGGAACAACGTGTAGGTTTTCCTAGTCCCCTAATCGAGCTGCCGAATGAATAACAGCAGATCACTCTACATCCCGCAGGCACCATGGGAGGCCACTTTAGCTTCACGCCGGGCGACCTCAATTCGCCGAGAGGAGCTCAGTTCAACGCCCGCGTGCCCACGTTTCACTTGGAGGAGCCCACGTTCTTGTATTAGGCTATCGGCACAACTGTCGAAGATGCCGTTTCCTGGTGGACGCTTTTCCCAAGAGCCGACGGGGTGTACAGTACAGTTTCTCACGGGATGCGGTGGATGTCCAGAGTACGGGCCTCTGGCGCTGGCTCTGTCTTTGTAGTTTGTGTCCAAAACTCATGCTGTGGCGAAACCGAGTGCTCATCGAGTCTTCGCCCTGCTGACATCAGGATAATGTACACGGTGTGCTGGTTCATTTTTGTCCTCTTCGCTCGTATTGCGAGGACGGCAACATAACGTTTTTGGTGTGTATGTGTTTTAATTGCTTGTCGTGGGGAAGACGTGCAGGATGTGATGTGATTCTGCACCAAGAGAGCGGGTTGAAGCGCGTTGTTTGTCTGTGTCTTCCCCTGCACCGAGGTTGCTTTTTTCAAGGTGCTGGTGGATGCCGGCGTTTCGGCGAAGCCTATGGTTCTGTTTGTTTTTACAACCGAGGATACATCCTACTAGCAGCTTGTTTCCAACTCTTTGAGAGTAGACGAGCGGAGTTGGATTCGGGAAGATCGGACCAATCAGGCCATCAAACTTCGGGGGCGCTTGGTGCTGCCGGCTTGCCAAGCCAGCGCGAATTATTTCACCTTGACGTTGGAAGTACGTAGGTCGTACTTGCGGTGTATTTTATTTTGCGAAAGAAGTGGCAGCGCAAACCAAACCAGGGTTGGCGCCGAAACGAGAGAGAGCAACGGCCCAAATGGCCCAGGCTAGACTTCGTCCGCGACTGGCCATAGCAAAGACTTGAATGGAATACGAACCAAATATGCCAACATGGGTGTGCCTCCGGTGATGCCTCCATGCAGGTCCGCTGGGCGCATGTTCATTTTTGGGAAAGCGACACAATAGGGTATACCCTGGTCGAAAAGCGACAAACCTGGGTACATAGTGTACAGCGACGTGAAATGAACCCATATGATTGGTCAAAACCCACTTTCACCCCGCCGCGTCGCAAAAAGCGCAGGGTATACCCTGCCGTGGCTACTTTTCTCAAAAACTGTACCCTGTTTTCGGAAATGTACCCTGGACTGACGGGAAATGAGACCCTTCCATCAACCATTTCCTCCGCAGGAATCTTCCCAAATCCTTTTGCCCGCCTACCATGGGATACCATACGGCGAGTCTTCCCGCCCGAAAACAACCATGGAAACGGAGCAGGAATGAGTTTCCGCCCCTGCGAAACAACACCAACCTCAACTCTTCCCGCTCTCAGTCAACCATGACTGGCGAACACAACGCCGTTCGGAAAGCAGTCGACACCAGTCTCTACTCTATATGCTGTGCATATATATGCACATGGACAAAACCCCGAGGACTACTGCTTGCTGTACTCAATTATAGTCTATATGCGAGATTACGGATCACGCCAAGAACTNCGCTGAGAAGCCAGACATCTTCTTACACACCCCTCTTACAACAAATAGTCAAATAGTTGGCTGGTAAGCGAGATACACACATCACACTTGAGACACAAACAAAACGCATGCAAACACGCCACAGGCCGGACGGGAGTGAGTGAGTGGCGGCGAAGGAGCTTTGGTCCAAGGAGCGGCGCCCGAAGTTAGCCTTGTACCGCTGTCCTCATCCCACACCAAGAACACACTCACGTCCGCACCATCACCCAACAGTCTAATGGACTAAGAACTTTTTTGGCAGAAGACTATATACAGCAGGTGGTGCAGTGGGTAATGGGCACCACAGGTGAGATAGTGTTTAGTCTACGCAAGATACTCAGGGTGCAGTAGACAAGCCTCAGCTCCACCAAACCACCATGATAATCCTGTATGCTTGA